TCTGCGGCATGTGGGATCTTCCCAGACCGGGGCACGAACCCGTGTCCCCTGCATCGGCAGGGGGGGGGGGCCCGCCCCCGCCCCCCCCCCAGGCCTGAATGCTACCTTCATGGCTCTCCCAGCTCCGCTCTCCTTCCTCAGTAGCTGTCCCAGGGCCCGAGAACCGGACAGGAGGTCCCCCTCCCGACACATACTCCACGCCCCCTCCGCGGGCCTCCTGCCTCCCTCCTGGGAATGCGGCCAGCTTCCTGTCCCGGAAGTTAAGGGAAGGAGGTGGATTGGGGCCTTGGAAAGGATGGGGGGGAGTAACCTTCCGAAAGTATAAGGGGTTAATAGCCTGGGGGTCTTTCAAGCCCCAAGCCTTGGACAGCAGCTCCCCAGAGCAGTCCAGTGGAACAGTCCAGTGGCTTGAAAGAATGTGCAAATGTACGTGTCCCGCCCCCATTTGCAGCGTATTACTGAATGTCCCAGGGCTCTGGAAGCTCCCGCAGCTCTGGCTTCTCCCACCAGGTCCTCCTTAACCTTCCCTCTCCCTCCCTCGAGCCCATCTGGGTTGGTCTAACCCTGCCGCTGCTGCCGGGATGAGCCCAATCAGGACACTTCCTTGGGCTGCCTGGACTGGGTTTACCCTGCGGCTTCTTCCTTGAAGCTCTAATTCTCCTTCCAGGTCAGGAAGTCTGCCCCCAGGGTACCTTAGCCAGAGGGAGGCCTAGCCTGTAACTGGAGAGGGGCACTGGCTCTGCAACACACTCCCACCCCACCAGCCCTGGCTGGGTCCCAGGACATTCCAGGCCCCTGGCCAGTGTGGGCAACCGGGCTTGGCCTGGTCCAGTCCCCAGCCCTGCTGGGATCAGGAGAGGTGCTGTGGTAGTGGTGGGATGGCCCTTCTCCCCTCCTATTACAGTTACCCTGGCCAGGACCCCTCCAGCAGGCTTCTCTCTACTCCTGCTGCCTCCCGAGGCTGAAAGTCCCCTCACCTGGCAACAGGTCCCCAGACCTTCTCTGAACCTCGCTCTTGTCCTCGTGGGCGGCTCACTAGCCCCCATGTTGGGTGGCCAGGGAAGCATGGCTTTGAGTCCCTCCCCACCCTGTGGAGCACCTCTGAAGTGAGATGGGATAGGAGAGCGCTGAGCCTTCAGGCAGTGCTGAGAGGAAAAGCAGCTCGCTGGGGCAGGCCTGGGAAGGCCAGGCCAGACCCCTGGGACCCTCACCCTCCTGCCTGGAACTTTCCAGAGCCCGTCAGTCTCTCCCCCAGCCTGGCCCCCTCTTACTCCCAAGCCCTGGGTTTGTTTGGAGAAACCCCTCCACCCAACACTCCCCCTTCCTGGAAATAGCTGTGGTTGGATGAGCGGCTGGGAGCCCAGCCGCGAGGAGGGTTGAGGCCCAGGGAAGGAGACAAGGAGGGAGGGCGGAGTGTGCGAGTGTACCCAGGGTGACCTGGAGAATTGACGGTGGAAGCCGAATCTGCCTCGGTTTCCCCAGATGTGAAGTAAAATAGCAAAACCCTGACTCGCGCTCTCCCCGGCCAGTTCCCGCCTAGGTCTCGGGCCTGCAGGGGCAGCGCGAGGGCCTGCGTGGCGGGACGGAGCGGCGGCGTGTGCGCCCGGGGCGCGCGAAAGCGAGACGGCAGGGCCGGGGAGTGACCGCGGGCCGGCCCCGCCCCCTGGCCACCTTTCCGGCCTCCGGGCCCCGCCCGCTGCCGACCCCGGCCCCGCGGCTCCTGAACCCCGGCGCAGCGCGCCCGCCCCGCTCCCCGCGCCCACTTGCCCCACCCGGTAGCCCCGCGCCCCCTGGCGACCGCCCCCGGCACTGCCCGCCGGGTCGTGACGCACAGGCCGCCGCCCTCCCGCCCGGCGCAGCGCGGCCACTCACCTGCGGGGGGCGCCCGGCGGGGCGGGGGCGCGGCGGGGCGGGGCAGCAGCAGGGGGAGCCCCCGGGCCAGCCCATCTCGTCCGGGCCCGCGCCGAGCGGACGCGGAGGAGGCGGAGGAGACGGGGCGGGCGCGCTGCGCTCGCCCCTGCCGCTCCCTGCGCCGCCCTCTCCTCCCTCCCGCGGGCTCCTCTCCCTCCCTCTCTCCCTCCTTCCCGGGCTCCAGTCCCCACGTGCCGCCCGCTCCCCGCCCCTCGTCCTTCTCCTTCTTCCTTTTCTCCTCCCCACCTTCTCTGGCGAACCCACGCTCCCAGGAGCTGGGAAGGAAGCATGCGGGGACTGGCAGAGACCCTTGGAGATCGGAAG